GTAATGAATTAAGGAAAAATTACATTAACCAAAAGACCTCCAATTAAAATAGCCAACAGACAGTTTGTTTACCGGGATGAAAATTTCCAGTATCTTACTGGTAGAAATCAATCTTTTGGGGGGGGGGGCAGTCTCACTATGTTGCCCTCAGTAGAGAACTGTGGCGTCACAGCTCACAGCAACCCCCAACTCTTGGGCTCAAGCAATTCTCTTGCCTCAGCCTCCCAAGTAGCTGGGACTACAGGTGCCTGCCACAATGCTCAGCTATTTTTTTTGTTGCAGCTGTCGTTGTTTAGCTGGCCTGGGCTGAGTTCAAACCTGCCAACTTTGGTGTGTGTGGCTGGCAGTATAACCTGACCATCTACATCTTTATCTAAATTTAAACTAATATGGATGTTACATGTTTATTTTTGTATGGCTAGTGCTATATTTCTATGCAGCTGCCAACATCAAACCTCTTTCCTTAAGCATCATCCTTAATATGGGAAACTAAGACTGTAATAGGCTTAAAGATACAGTAACAAGTAGCAGACAACCTGGCAAGTTCTAGCTCTTACAGCCACCCCCAGATATGTACTCTGCACAAGAACTTAGCCAAGAGTAACCTAATGTGAAAGTCCAAAATTTGGGGAGTTTTTTAATTAAAAGATTACTTTCACATCTTACAATATTATATAAAAGGCCACTATGCCAAAGAAGCAGCAAATAACACCACTCATAGGAAGGACTGTAAACAAATGAACATCCTTTTCCCTTTTTCTATGTTTTAATTTAGTGTTTTGACTTCTTACATTTTACTCCTATTGGAAATAGCACATTTTGTAAATTTACATATAAACACAAAACAAAAAATCCATATGGCTAAATAAATATTAGCTAGGAAACTTGCCCTACCTCACTTCCTGTGAATTTGCAGGGAGGCAGAGCTGGTATTTCTCCTTTGTGTGTGCATAAAGAGTCACCAAAATGAAACTTTGCTAACTCAAGCAGCTCATCATGGGAAACACCTAAATTAACAGAAAATGTTGTCACATCTACTAGCAGTACAGTTTATAGTAAACTGTAGGTAATAGAATGTACATTACACATGAAATATTTGCATTCACTAAAAGCCATTTACTAATATTACAAGGAAGCTCACACAGCAAACTTACTTCCTCGGTGTTGTGAAGCTTAGGCTTCTACAGCTTTCAAATTTTGCAAAGCGACTAACAGTTTTCATCAACAGACCAAGTATTCACAGCTGAAAATAAGACAGCTTGAAAATATCACTCTTCATACAAAATGTTATATTAAATTGTAAAAATTTCTAGAATGCAAACTAGCAAAAAAAGCCAATTTTCAGTAAATTATTTTTGAAGTACAAAATACAAATATGAGGTTTTATCTCATCTAAAGAAAACTGGAGGCTCAGCGCCTGTGGCTCAAGCAGCTAAGGCGCCAGCCACATACACCTAAGGTGGCGGATTCGAATCC